GGGGGGGGGGTGTGGGGGGGGGGGGGGGGGTGGGTGTGGGTCGGTGTGAGTGTCGGTGCGGGTTTGGGTGTTCAACTATCTGACACCCACACCCTAAAAAGAAAGCAGTTTTTTTGTACTTTCACTCTCTTGTTTACATTTCTACTTTCACATATTCATTCACAGTGCAGACATTACTCATAAAGAAAAGAAAATGATTGTAACAAGGTAAAAAATACATTAATGTATGTATTTCTCTCATTCGTTTTTGCGCTGGTAATGCATTTTTCTGTTGATTTTTATTTTTTGACTTGAGTGCAGTCTTCAAAAAAAGCCTAGCAGAGTAAATTTCAATCAAGGTTGCGGACAATTTTACTTTTCGCCGAACAAACTTCGTATTTGCACCAAGACATTAGGCATTCATCACAATGGTGTTTTCTGTTGTTCTTGGCAAGCGTATATCAAAAAAGGCAATTTATGTCTACAGCATTGACTATGTGTGTTAATTTTAGTCAAACCTATATGAAAATCTAACTTCCGATTGACCTTGTGTAGTTTTTCCAGGATGTTTCAGATTTATGAGTAAATCAATGAGAAGTTCAATTTATTGGTATCGTATTCTCACGCTTTCGAAACATAATCAAAAGATAACTTCACGAAATGTTGGGAAGGACAACTTTGCGAAAAATTTTTCTTATGAATTTTCTTGTTGTTGTTTGGTGAAATAAGATGGATGCGAAGACTATTTTACAATCTGAATTCCGTTTTAAAAACATTCATGTTTCATGAATTTTCAGCAAAGTTGTTTGATGTTTATGATGATGTGAGTATCGTTTATGTAAGAATAAAATAACTCGCAATGGCAACTATAAACGAATCTTGTCGTGATATGTGTCTACGATTAGATCTGCTCATAAATATGTAGCCAATTTGATCGGTGTCAAACATCATTCACAATTGAACACCATTGAGTCTTACATATCACATGACAATGAAAATAAATGTTTGTGATCTCTAAAAACAGAATTTGTTCTTGTTTGTAACCAACCATTTTGTGTTCTTTACTTTGAACATTTTGCAGCTGCTATGCACAATCCTCCGTAATGGAGCGTATAGTTGATAAGAAGTTTTAGAAAGGACGAAAAAGAAGAAGGTATAAAAATGCAGAAGCAGTACATAAACTGCTGCTGTGATGCAGAATTAATCGACGGATCATTCGAACTAAAGCAAAGCAGCCTGACATACACAACGATAATCATTGAAAACTACTGGTTATACCTGTTTCGGATAACTCCATTGTGGTGAGTCACTTATTGAGAGGATTTCTAAGACCAAAAAAAGAGTATTTTAAACGTCATGAATAGAGTTAACGTGTGATTGGGACTCTAATAACAGAAGACTTCAACACATATGAAATTACTAGTACGTAGTTTAAAAACAAGCCGGTTCATCAAGATTAAAATATAACTAAATATTTATTTATAATTACAGAACACCTAAATTATATACCAACAGTAACAGTTGTAGATGCATAATACATACAAAACAATTTTACACATGCATACAATTAGAACATTTAAACTAAACAATAGTTTCAGGCGTGAGTGTAGATGTAGGTGTGTGGGTCTGACTATGAAACATATTTAAGTGTCCCCCTGAGAAGAGGTTTAAAACAATCCTATTTGCTAGAGACCTTGATGAATTTCTCTAATATGAATGTCTTAGGTGCTTTCGTTTAGATCTGAAAAAATGAAAGAATTAACCTTTTTCATTTTTATGCACTTTCCTATTTTAAAAGCTGCAGTTTTTCCACTTATGTAAGAGGTGCAAGAATAATGAATACAGTCAAGAATGTCCCTGCAAAAATGTCCTTGACGAAATGTCCTTGGTTTTTTGTCCTTGAAAAAAAGTCCTCCTTATAAAATGTGCTTCGTATAAAATGTCCTTGAGAAATGGTCCTCTGAAAAAATGTCCTTTATGACCAAAATGTTCCGAAATAATGATCGCCGAAAAATGTCCTTTTAGTGAAAAATGATGAAGAGAAGATCAAGTTATTAACGATGAAATTTAATGTAAAAGAACTATTAAAGTTTTATTAAGTTAGTCATTGGGAACAAAAAAAAAGTTCTTCTAATAATTCTTGCACTGTAATTGCATTATTGTTAAATTGATTATATAACTCATTGTTCGGATCTTGAGCAATTCTTGTAATCAATCGTTTTGTACGAGGACACATTCCGCTATTGATTTGAATGACTAAACTATGAACGGTATCCACCTCTTTCCGCATTGCATCAATAAAATACCAAATGTTGGGATGACATTCGTTCAACCGATTGTTGAACCTGTTATTATACCCTAAAACTATTCGCGTATTAATCACAAATTTGTAATTGCCATACTATTTTAACATACGTTCACTGAAGTTATTTGTTTTATCAGGTATATCAAATACATTCCACATAGAAGTACGTTGTAAACAGTATTTGGTAAAGTACTTGAACAACGGAGCTAATTCATCGAGTTCAGATTGACTTAAATCATCTCCAAGGTTGCCAAATAATGTTAAAATAAACTTTGCAGGTACCAAGGCCAATGCCATCATTCAACGAATAACACTACGAATCATAAGATTATCTAAATAGATAGATACTAAACGAAGTGATTGAACATTTCTGTAAATGGCCTTGGTAAAGTGAAAAAAAAACGCCCTTTTTGAATAGTATTTTCTGTAAACTATAAAAAAAAGATAAATTTTAGTAAAAACCTGTTGAACATTCGGTAAAATACTATATTTATTACCTCAAGACTAATTGCTCTTGTAAGACCAGGTTCAGAGTCTGTCATAATTATTTTAGGATCGAACTTTTTATTCAATTGTTTGGCATGATCGAATAGAATAGTAAATAGATGAATATATGTTGATGCTTTTCGATCGGGTAACAGTGCGCATAACACCGGCACACCTATTTCAATTAAGGCGCCATATAATAAAAAATAATGAAATAAAGTTAGCTTACATGAACTCTGAAGAAATGCTTGAATAATAAATACTTGTTCAAAGAGTGGTGGTGATGTACTAAATGTGCCATCCATGTGAAGTTTTTGACTATTGAATAACAATTTTAGTTGAATATCTGACGACCAAACCAAGATTCTTCCTTCAGATCGTATGTGTCCTGATTGATTCAGTTGATATTTGGGATCGTTACTATCGTACAACAACAATCGAGCTTTATTACAATAATCATTTGTGTAAGATTCAGGTATGAAAAAGGATGATGATTGTGGTATTGAAGAAGTTGTTTTACGTCGATGATGCACCAAGTTATGACCTGAAGGAAATGTAAATAAACTTAATTATTCGACCTTTATTAAAATTTTTCAATTGGAAATCGTAACCTTCAATAACTAACATTAATCGGCGTTTATTCGATGTTGTTGTACTGACACTAGGTTTTCTTGAATTAGTCGTTGAAGATGAACATGCAAGTAATGATGAGGAGAACAAGGATGATAAACTTTCAGTTGATGCTGAGGATGACAAATCATCACCCATCATCGTTACATCTTCAGACGACATTTTAAAAAAATATTTCGTTTTCTTTAATTGCTTTTTCTATAGGTATTAAGTAAACAAACAATCCCAGTTCTATAGTTTGTTTTCCTCTAAATTAGTTCACTCTGTACAAAAACAAATCCTTCAAATAAGAATTACATATATACCAAAATATACTTAGACTATAGCGCCATCTATGTCCAAATCAGCATATAATCACACAAATAATAACTTAGTTATACGAATACTTTTTTGCATGAAGGGCATTTCACTTCAGGGACATTTTTCAGAGGACAAAAAGTTCGAGGACATTTGATCTTGGGACGAAAAACCAGGGGCGTTTCGTCAAGGACATTTTTTCAAGGACATTCTTGACTGTTACCAGAATAATGATTTTTTTCATAAAGAAAATGTCAGAAATGAACGGAATGCGACATGAAAGAGACATTTATCTATCACGAATAACAGTATTATATCGCTTGCTGACCATGTATCACGAATAATTATTGGTATATATCAGCTAGGAGAACTAAAAAGGACTTTCCATAGGGCAAATCTTTGATATTTCAGTACAAGATCACTGACAAATATGTTAAGGATCCTGCAAGGATTCGCTCTTTTTTTCTGAGAAAACATTGAATCCTGGAAAAAGCGTGTAGCCACCATTTTTCAGGATCCTGGCAAGATTGAAAACAGGATTCTCAAAAATCCTGGTAAGATTACCATGGCTTTTGAAAACAAGATTGAGCCAGGAAACGCTGAATCCCGAAGAAAGCATGTAGCCAATATTTTTCAGGATCCTCTCAGGATTTTAATCGTTCAGAATTAAGAAAAAAACGGATTTCTGAACGTATCTTTCCGGATTAGTCTAAGTTTCCTTGAATATCTTGACGGGATCCTTTTAGGATAATACTAGTTTTCCTTTAGAATGCTATCAGTTTCTTGGAAGGATCTTTGCAGGAATTTCTAAATAGAATATAAATGAAATGAACGCATGGAGTATTCATCTGTAGTCATTAAGTTTACATACCGATCAGCTTTACCTGGCTGGATGTGCCATGTCATTATACATCATTTCAACGTTCAATATCTTCATTTCTGACTTTAATATAAGCTTCTATATGAATTCCATGTATATTGAAATTCTTTCAACAGAATTCTGAAAATGGAATACTATTTTACATATTTATCTCAGTTGATGAGATTTTAACATTTTTGAAAATTTTAATTAAATTTAAAAAAATATTTCCAATTTTTTTTTAATTTGATTTAAAAAATGCATATCGAATGTTTTTTGGTCTGAAATTGGTTTAAAAAATATGTTTGGATTTTTCAATTTTTGATTCGATTGAAAACATCTACTTAGGATTTATTTATTTCAATTCAGTCCAAAAAAAAGTTTGAATTTTTCTTTCCAACATAATGGAATACACGAGTAGTTTTATCAAATGTTGGCTACCGATTAAAATTAAATACTTAACGAAAATATTTCACAATGACTAAATTGAAATTGATACCTTAATTTAACGATTTTCAATTTAATTTTCCTAATAAGATGGAAAAGAACTCAATATTGTAGTTTGAATCTTACAGCAACTGTTATAGAAACTTTCAAGAGATTTAGAAAATATTTTTCTGAGATTTTAAAGATACATCCTATTTCTTTATTAAAAGTACCAAACCAGGATCGGAATAGAAATACTAGTAGGTTATTCGCTTAGCAGAATTTTGTCCTGTTGCGAATAAAACCTAATAGCATTTTTAAAATCCTATTTATTTTTGATGAGATTTTGCTTAACATTGGTATTGCAATTCTGTTGTGATATATAGATTTACAAGTCTTCAATGGATCTTGATCTAAATCCAGATAACAACATGAAGAAGCTGTTTTATTTATTCTTGTTAGGTTCTTCCCAGCGTCCTGAAAATTAGATTTCGAATAGTCTCTGAACACGAAACCTCGAAAGATCTTAACTGGATTCTCGTAATTTCCTCTCAAGATCCTGCACATACTTGTAGTTTTTAAGGGTTTGAAATGCCTGTCCTAGAACAGTTCCTCACAGGATCCTGGTCGACGCTTGGCAAGATTATTCACTTGAGAATTCTCAGTAATCTTGTTTTGTTCCTGGTAAGATCCTTCTCTAATACAACAAAGCTTTTGGCAGAATTCTTGTTTCAGGATTCAGAACAGATCTTGATGCAAATCTAACGAAATCTTGAGGAGATCCTCCTTATGTCTTTTGTCAGGTACGTGGATAGGATCGAAAGTGTACCCTGAAAAAGTTCTGTCATATCGACACAAAAACAAATCGAAGCAGGAACTTGAATCAACTCTGGGTAGAATCCTGAATCAAATCTGACAGGATTCTCAAGATTTATTATTCTTAAAGAACCTTCGAAATTTTGTTAAGAGATAAACATGACTAAAGCAACTAAGCAATGTCCTGTAAAGATCTTTCCTGAATCCTTATATTTTCTGCTCAGGATTCTGATTAAAATTGATACTATCTTGCAAAACGTGGAAACGCATATTCTTGAAAGGTTCTGAATAATATTCTGATTGAAACTTTGCACGAATCGTCGACTTCGTACTCTGACTAATCTTGTTATTTTCTTGCCAAGATCCTTGTCTGGATGTAAATATCAATCCCGACAGGATTCTGATATGAAGATTTGATCTAGATCCTGACGAAAGCCTGATAGAGTCTTTGCGAAATCCCCTGTCATAATCTTGAGAGAACCATTGATCGAATGTTGAGTAAATCCTGGTAGGATCCTGTTTTCTCAACTCAGAAAGATATCTGAGAAGGAACTTGAAGAAATCCCGAACAGGATTCTCTTTCACTTTGAAACACGCTGGAAACTGGAATTACCAGGATCTGAAACATGACCTAGAATAAAACTTGACAAGATCCTTGATATTCAGGATGCTGAAAGACCCTTCCAGGATTGCTTAAGGAATGAGCAGGATTGAGACTAGAGTTACTATGTGATAAAGGAAAAACGAGAGCTGATGCCGTGATATTTGACTTATTTCGAGTGAAATCACTTCATATTTTGCGATCAAAACCTCCAATTTTTTCCCATTATTTGTGGGTCATTATATTTTATCCTATGAAACTGACATAACTAGTATTACGGATCGTATATTGTTCATATAGAGTTGCGAAAATAGGCGGTAGAGAGCCACTCTTTTACGATCATTATATAGAGTGCCGTAAGTTCTCTTTAGCATCGTATATTCCGTTTACGGACTACTTTTGTGACACAAGATAATGGAGATGTTTCTCATGGTGAGCAACTTGAAACATCCATTACGAGCCATTATGAAGTATTCAAAACAACAAAAGTCATTACAAAAAACATTCAAGACAGCAGAATTTTGTGACACATAAATTTCTTTTCATGTTCGGTCAGTGAAAAAAATAATCATTCTTGTAAATCTTATAAAAGTGGAAAATAGCACAGCTTTCAAAGCAGAAAAGGACATAAAAATGAAAAGTTTTATTTTCTCATGTTTTAGATCCAAACGACAGCACCGAAGATATTCATATTAGAGATATTCATCAAGGACTCTAGTGAATAGAACGGTTTTAAACCTCTTCTCAGGGAAGCACTTAAATATGCTCTCTAGTGCGTGTCGGTACGGTTGTAGTTGTAGGTGTCGCAGCCTGAATGTGTGAGACTGACTGTGGATGTAAATAAGTTTAGTGCCCACACTCCCACCCACACCCTGCACCAATCGGTTTCGAGGATTATGGGATTTTTAGATTTGCCGGACTATGGAATCTAGGTTTGTAGCACCATGCGAGTTTCAGATTTTCAAATCATGAGGTTTTGGAGCCTTCCACTATGAAATTTTGAGTGTTTAGTTTATCTGACTGCGAACAATACATCATCGGCTTAGATAGAGTTCCTTTTTTTTTATCTAAGACAGATTCATTGTGTTTCACATTTCAATTCCACAGGAATTACGCTTAAAGGTTTTCTCACTCTTCTTCATTTCTTACAAATAATGCCAATGGTCAAAATGGGACAATAACAAAAGACGGTAAGTTTGCGTTGCATTTTTATTATCCATAGTTATGAGTTCCTCTATAAATTTAAAAATGGAATAAGACATGTTCGACCACTGGTATTCTCATCCTCAAAAATCTTTATCAAACGTATCTTTAAGAAAATGAAAACAATAGGCTCTCAGGGAAGTTTCCTTGTAAGATTTGAAATGTATATTCGTTGCTATTAACATAAAACGTTAAGATTTTCCTAGTATGAAAAGGTTTTCATTTAGGTAATTAATATTGATGTCAAACAATATAATTCCGTTTCTCATTAGAAGCACGTAACCATTTACAAAATGATTGTCGAAATTATATTGATTATGATTGTGGTATGCATACTGTATGCTCAACATTGCATGCATCAAGTTCAAGATGCATCAGGTATGTTCTAATATTCTGACAAAAACAAGCATTAAGCGTTTCACGCACCCACTGACGAAGTTGCTGAAAAATAGATATTTATGTAATATAATTCGTTTCAAAAATCGTTTTAGCTATACCAAATCAGTAAATCTTTCGTGTCACAACCGATATTGTCGCAGCACAATACCAACCATACTAAATACTTTATAATAGAACAAAACTCAGCCGATCTAACGTAGCCACGAGAAATGATAAAAAGAAAACAGTGAGAACTAATGCGTCAAACACCCACAAAGCGCCATGCTTTCAAGATTTTGACAGAATTTGAGTCTAGTAATTCGGCATCATTGACTCTTACACGCTTACCACAATAGACCTAAATCCGAATAGAATTTGCTTAGTCAGTGAAGAGTAGTGCGTGATTGACAAACCAGTCAACCTATATGGAAGTTCAGAAGCAGTAAGAAGCCTTAAGTGACATAGCGCTTCAACAGACAACCATTGTTCATCAGGATGTCTAGTTCTTTGATCGATTTGTAGTGTTGGTGTAGCCGAAACGCGCCCGAGATTTTCTATTTCTGAGATTCTGCCAGCTATCGT